TAATTGTAGATTTTTTTTTTTTTCGGTATTTTATTCTAGTTGATTGGGGCGGAATAGGGAGAAGGTTTCGAGACGTTTAGACCTGAAAGGTCCCCTTAATGAGCAGCCCTACTCTATACTCCCCTGTTGACCTGTTAATTTCTAATTTGGTGATAATTGTTTCATTTCAACAGCAATGACAGGCAATCTCAAAGGAGCTCTCAAAGAGGAATGGAACACTGAAGATTTAACAATCCTAACCTCTAAACTCAAGGGACATGAATCACTCATTAGGCTCAAGCGCAGGTAAACAGTTTACACAACTTTACTCGCGTTTTGCATTTGTTGGCCTTTTTTTTGGGTTATTTCATAGTCATAGCAGGAGTTTATGAAAAGAGTTTCCGAAATTGCTTGGCAGGTGGTTGATGGATTTGCCATTGTCAGTAAATGAAAAGAAGAAGGTAGAGGAGATGCTACCTCCTGAAGATAAGTAAGCAACTACTTCTAATTGTTATTTGTATTTTTATGTTACTATGTTCGATTCGAGCATTTTGTCATGAACATTAAGCTTAGATTGGCTAATTATTGAATGTTAAACCAATGCATCACTTGAGCACAATATGAATTAATTGAATGATAAAATGCTTGGATTTAAAATGTAGTGTTTGATCGGCCATATGGTTATAGCGTTATGTTTAATTTGGTTTTATGGTTAAAATGTTTGTGCTTTTATGTTGTTTTGATGCTATCTAACATGGTCATATCTCTTAACTAAATGAAGAATCAATGAAAATGAATATGTGAAATTTGTTGCAGAAGGTGAGAATGAAGCAATTCTATCTCACACTCAAGTGTGGATAAAACTCTGTCTTATTCAAATTGATTTTGTAAGAGAAATTGAAGCCGAGATTGGTTTTCTTAATTTATTTACTTTTTGTTCTTTTGGGCCATTCTCTTTGCGTTGAACTTCATCGTGAAACAGAAACTTCAAAATGGCCGTATTTAATTATTAGTTCCATGTGTAGCCCTTCATTAACTTCAAAGCTTCTCAATGATTGTGAGTGAAAATAGGTTGATGTTATCTTGATTTTTCTCCTTTTGTGTTTGTAGGGTACTGCCGGAATCATTAATTAGGGAAGATGATGTGAGTATTCGTATTCGTATTATGCAGCACTATATCTCCGTGTCTTATATATTTTGTTTACTATTATCATGATTTGCACCATGATTTTGTATTGCATGATTGCATCAATAAAATCTATAGAAAGAATGATGAAGCATTAATTTATAAACATGTACATGAATAGAAATCTGTTTCTGGTGTGGTAAAATTCAGCAACAATTGGAAGGAAGTAATAGACTATGCATCGGTGATAATAGGTTATGTTGATTATGGTAATGTAAGGATAATATGACAAACTTAAGGAACTTTTTGGAGTGCCAACTTTACCGGTGGTTAATGTGTAGTAATTTTGTAATAAAATTGATCAATTCTGTAAAGTAGAGACGATACAGATTTTGCTTGGTTATAGACTACTCAGAGGTTACTTTGGTATCCATGGCCCATAGAAGGCTCATATTGGTGCATGATTGATGTTTTTATCTTACATATACTCTTTTAATCACAGGTAAGCTATGAGGACATCAGAACTGCCATCGAGATGGGATTTGGAGTTCATAGCTATAGGAAGGAACGACAGTGTACACAAGAGGATGTACAAGTACTTAATGCATGCGAATGTCTTCAACAAATATGCTTCCTGCTTGATGATATGTCTACTAGAGGCTTATGCTCTATAATTGAGGTACTCACCGGGGGAATGATAAATTTTGAGAAAACAAATTTGAGCATGAAGAGGACAATAAAAGAGTTGCTTCCAAAGCTCACTGCCAACCGAAACAATATTTCCAAAATAAAACTGAAGCAAATTTCTAAACTTTTGAAAGACCCAGAAAATTTCAAGGGGGGTCAGTTGTTGTGCTTGACCGCATCCGAAGCCTATCGTGCTGCTGCAATTGTTGTCATAGACAGGCTCATGGACTTACCCGCGAGAGCTTTACTTGCCATGCGTAGGAAGCTGGATGGTGCCAAGACTTGCGTTCCCTCTCTTCGTCCTGAGAGATATGACAGTCGTCAGAAGTTATGCAAAAGACTGAAGAAGCGCATGGATTTACTGTTAGACTTCCGTGATGGGGATGAGCCTGCAGAAGAATTGGCCAGGGCACTAGGAGTTGCGGGTTTGACGCTAAAGCTAATTATGAAGTGCTCAGATGTGCGGGACTTTCGGAAATTCTCACCAGAAATTGAGGCGTTGCAAAATGATATAGCGAAAGCTATTCATCTGACAGATATCTCCATCTCCGACAGAATGAGCTTGATAGAGCTGGAAAAGGTGCAAGTTTTGTTGGACCCTAATTTAGAGTTGTCTGTCAATAGGCTACGTGAATGTGATGTACGGGATCTCTTGACCGAGTACCTGTTTGAGTGCAGTGACATGGACAGGATCCCTGATTCTTTAGTAAAAACGGTTAACTTGATTAATACAAGATCGCAAATTCCATCCCTCAAGAAACGACTGTCATCCAAGAGCCGCCTTTTGTCCCCTCAAGAATTAATGAGGGATGCAATACAGAAAGAAGTGGAACACGTACTAACAGTGAGTGCTCTAGGAAAAGAAGTGGTGTTGAACTTTATTCCTGAACATGAATTTGATGCAGACTTTTCTCGTGCGTACTTGGAGGATTTTGGAGGAAATAATAATTTTCTATGTATTTCTGATGATGAGGGAGTTGGGTGTTATGAACTTCATTCTAGCAACTCTTACGATGGCAAGTCTGAAAGTATTGGTGAGACAAGTCTGGTAAAGAGAACAAGCAAAAGGGATGATGGCTCTTCACAAACCGACGGTGTTTCTGATTGTTGGCTGTCCTGTAAGGAGTCAAAAGTAGCGGACTCGAGCGACAATGCCAATGGTTTTAAAAGTGAAGAGGCTACAAGCTGTTGTTATTCTACCAACCCGAATTGTGTGTCTTCTGAATTCCTGTTGGAGACGGATATTGTGAGCGGGTCCTGTAATAAGTACCTTCACGTCCAGGAAGCTTGTGATGCCTCCAGTATGGTCGCCTATCGTTATGTGGGTTGCTTGCTGGAAAAGCTTGCGAATATTGAAAAGTTGGAATTATGCAAAGTTGATAGGTTGTATTTAAGAGGGTGATTCTGATTCTGAAGGTAATGTGATATTATATCCTTTTAGATTCATGTGAAATTAATTATTAGGATCATTATTTAGTTTTTGCCAGTCATATTTATGTTTGTTTGCTTATCTGTAAGTGTGCATTTTCATTTTGATTGCTGGTTATTTATTCTAGTTCCCAAGTGTTTGGGAAGTGTTTAATTGCTACTGGGATACTTTGATGAAGTGGGTCATTATATGTTATTATCCTCTTCCTTCCTCTCTCTCTTTTTTTTTTTGAAAGCATTGGAAAGAGCATTAACATAAATACAGCAGCAAGAAGCGGGAATACAAAAGCCTAATCAATACTTTGTTGGGTGATTCTACGGTTTTGTTGGGTTATTCTACTATCAGGTAGCCTCTTTTTAGCTTTGTACGTACCTAACATCAGGTATGCTTCAAATGAATGCCAATTGTCCATAATATACCCTTACTTGAAAAAACTTTAATGAATTTAGATAAAAGGTCTTTGAAGTACTTCTTTCTTTAACATTCAGTATGCATAATTACATATCTCAATTAAACCACAAAATTAAAAAAAAAAAGGAAAAAATAATAAAGAAAATTGCCCCAAACCCCAATTTCCCTCCCCAATTTCCCTACCGTGACAGGAGCCACCCAAAAGAACTCTCTTCCGAGGAAGACAGAAGAGAAAGCAAAGAAAGCTAATCAGACTTTTCCGGCGAAGCAGGTGAAGCGAGTACGGTGAACCGACGATGGAAAAATCCCGAGCCGACAACCTCGACATCGGGTTGAATTCCAACGCAGATCTGGACTCCCCTTTGGCCCACAAGTTGCATCCCGGCCCGATGACCCTCAAAACCTCCTCCAAGCGCGCAGTGTCGGTTTCTTATTTCCTACTTTTTAAAGTCGGAAATTTTAGAACTAATGAATCAATGGGGTTTTTCTTTTTCTGCTGCAAGTCAAATCACATGTTTGAGAGGTTTTTGATATCATATTTTTTTGGGTGTTTATTTCTGTTTTATTTTTATGATGCTTGCTTACATATCCGTCGAAGTTCTCGTCTTTAAACTTGCTTGCTCAAATGTGAAATTGATTTCGGAGGTCATCTCACCTCTTGCTATGCGTACACTGGAAGACACATATCAATCATATAGGCTGTATATTTGCTTGATAGCTGTGAACTATGGTTACCGTGGGTGGGGTGTGTTAAGGAATCAAGCACTGTGAAATCCTCTGAATGGGCCTGATTTTCCGAGACAGGGTAATGAACAGTAAATGTAGTTTTGTGGGTTTGAAAATTGGTGCTTTAAGTTATCTTATAATTCAACTGTAGTAACTGTGTGTACCTGATTTTGGGAAAAAGAAGAAGAAAAATAAGTTATATTGAGGGCCTCAAGTCAAGGATATTCTTGTTTTCGTGGGTTAGGTTCTTTTTACGTGGGCCTTAAGCATTTGGATTTTGATCAAAACATAAATATCTTCACCCTTTATGTCTAGCTAATCCCTTGGTGGTCATGATTGCTTTATAATGGCTCTTTTTAACAGTATAAGCTTTACGTAGTAAAGCATTTCAGATGCTTACTTGCATATGCAGCCTGTCATAGTGAATGAAGGTGTTGAAATTGAAGGGGTAGTAAAGCATTTCAGATGCTTACTTGCATATGCAGCCTGTCATAGTGAATGAAGGTGTTGAAATTGAAGGGGAGTGCAGCGGTTATTGTGTGTCAAAAGCTCTTGGCCGGGGGCATTTCAAACGCTCTATGGGGATCATGAAAGATTTGAAACAACATAATTTAGTGCCTTCACTGGCTACTATTTCAGTGGAGATGGTTGCAGCAGGTAATATATTATTTTTTTTTTTCCTTTTTGGGAAATAAGAGGTTCGGTTCTTCAGTCTTTGAATTAGTTTTTACGCATCATTTCCATCATATTCTCCCTATTCTGAATTATATGTTAATTTATTCGGGTAATTTAGGGATGAAGATGGTTACCACTGGCTCACAGGCAGAGTAGACGATGTTACAAATGTCAGGTATTGTTGTCCGCGTTTTATCTTTTTATGTTCCAGATCATCTGTTTGGTTGTCTTTTCTTACCTTTATATTTAAGCCTTGAGAGAAATTGTTGAGTTCCCAATTTTTTTTTTTTTTTTTT